CAGGAATCAAACCTGGCAGCTCCAAATGGTGTCCCTGCCTTGCTACGGAAACAAGTGTACTAAAAACATGACCAGCTAGGCACCCCTTAAAAATCCATGTCTATTGCACAGCCTGAAATCCATAACCTCGGAAGACAAGACAGAATTCATAGTGAGGCACACACACCATTTGGAGATAACAGGTTCAATTCCTGGCACAGTAACTATAGCTTTTGATTTTCATTTTATCTAGTGTGTCCTTCTATCTTTCTATTTTTTCTACGAAAAGGGGTCAGCAAAAAAAATTTATGGGGTTCGTTTTATTATTGTTAACAGAATCAACCCGTAACTTAAGAGTGCAATCCTTTTTATGATTCTAATATTGACTATTTATAAGTTTTTTGATGTAACTATTAAAAAATATGTGGTCTCTGACAGAACTTCAAACATAAGCGACATTTGCAAGTCTTAGCGGTTTTGGAACCACTGTTTAAGAGGATACAGGAAATACTCTCCAGTGTTGTCCTGATACAATCACAGTGTTACAAAAAGTAACAGAGAGAAGGTGTATCTACAAATGATTTTGTGAACTACAAGTAAACTAACACATATAATGAGACTTGTTGCTAGAGAGGGAGCGCGAGAGAACACACAGAAGGTGTATCTACAATTGTTTCTGTGAATTTTGAATAAACTAACATATACAGGGTGACTTGTTGCTAGAGAGGGAGCGCGAGAGAACACATAGAAGGTGTATCTACAATTGATTCTGTGAACCACAAGTAAACTAACATATACAGGGAGACTTGTTGTTAGAGAGAGAGAGAGAGAGAGAGAGAGAGAGAGAGAGGGGGGGGGGGGGCAAGAGAACACATAGAAGGTGTATCTACAATTGTTTCTTAGAATTACGAGTAAACTAACATATATAGGGAGACTTGTTGCAAGAGAGTGCGAGAGGGAGCGCGAGAGAACACATAGAAGATGTATCTAAAATTGTTTCTTAGAATTACGAGTAAACTAACATATATAGGGAGACTTGTTGCAAGAGAGAGTGTGAGAGGGAGCGCGAGAGAACACATAGAAGATGTATCTAAAATTGTTTCTTAGAATTACGAGTAAACTAACATATATAGGGAGACTTGTTGCAAGAGAGAGTGTGAGAGGGAGCAAGAGAACACATAGAAGATGTATCTAAAATTGTTTCTGTGAATTACAAGTAAACTAGCATATATAAGGAGACTTGTTGCTAAAGAAACAAACATAGAACACACTGAGACTTTCCGATATATTTGTGAGACAGCCACCATCAATTAGCGGCTAGACACTCACCTGCGGCTCCGAAGACTGCAGGTTTAAATCTGTATGCAGCCTGATTTTCTTCAGACATGATACTGGCTCCCAGGTCGGCCTAGCCTTACATTGGTACCAGGTTAAGTCCTGGAAAGTAAAGGCACCCGTCGAGATACTAAAAACAGGACTTGAAACAACAACCTTCCGATCCACACGCGAGTGTCTACCCGCTACACCCATTGCAGAACCAAACTGACCCACTAGGACAATGCTGCAAACTACCACCAAACTCAACAACCCCCCCCCCCCTCCCCCCCCCCCCCCCCCCCCCCCCCCCCCCCCCCCCCCCCCCCCAAAAAAAAAATTACTGAGTGGCGAGAAACCAACAGTCAGCACACAAATAAGGCATGATTCCGTGTGGATGTGTAACATTTTTTAATCATCATCACCATCCACTGTTAAGTGTCAAGGGGGAAGAACAGTTCATGCTCCTGTGCTCCATGGGTGGCACTGACCATTTATCATTTCATTCAGATGCACAAATAATATTTTTAATGTCATCAATCCACTTCTTCCTTGGTTATCCCTCTGCTCTCACATCAGATCTGTTTAAGCAAAGCATGAGCAATTATAACTACACAGAAAAAAAAGGCAAAGTAGATACAGAAAAAACTACATCAAAAATGAATACGTGAATACGCACATAATATGTGTATACATCAATAAATATTTCACAATAATCACATATAAATGCAAATGACTTCCTCCACACACTTACTTTAAAAAACACACATTCCAGCAAACATCATATGTTTACCAAATACATTTGGAAAAAAAATGACAGGTGAAAAACAAAATAACACCATGACATCAACGATATTCTGACTTAGGTATTGCTAAAATGCCATCTTTCAAATGCACACATTAAAAACTATAACTGCAAGATGGATTTTAAATTTCTATAAACATTTTTGAAACAAATACAAAAGAGGGGTTTCATCAATAATTACAACAAAATGATTTGTTAAATAAGAAAATGACCCCAAAAAAAAAAGTTTACATAGATATTTTGAAATAAGTACAGAAACTTATATTGTGGGGATTATCTCTAACCCTACTTCCTCAGTTACCTCTTGCAATAAGGTAACATGTCCAATCAGCACAGAATAAACAGGTTTTCACTGGCAACTGGGGTGGGGCGTTTTGTTTCTGCCAGGAGCCATTTGAAAGTTTATAAAAATGTCAGGTTGCCAAACAAAGTTAGCAACTTACTGATAATTAATTGCAGAACCAACATCATTCTTCACTGCCAACCAGGCATACTCATAGATCCTCTGTCAGAGCAGCGACTGTCTGAAAATATAGATGCTAAGTGATCCAGCAGTACTGGGCTGGGTGCTTTATTAATATCTGACCCCAAACAGGGGAAATCCACAGGTCACGGGACAGTCTGATATTTATGGGGGTGGTAGATAGGCTGCATGCAGTCGTGGGACCTAGGTTGCACTCTCTTGTGGGACGTAGGTGAATTGGGGTTAGGGCCAGTTCTAGATGTTTTGGGGGTCGTTAAAAGCATCAGAAAGCAGGGAAACAGTCTTACCAGCCTCTCAAATGTTGGACTGTCCTGTGACGTCAACTGGGGTAGGATATTCATAAAGAACCCACAGCTGTAACTTGTGCACTGTCAATTAGTAACGTAAAGGACCCTTTTCCACGCCTTCAAACATACTGGGCATACAGGGCTAGACCTATATTTTATAGACCAACTGGCACTCCGTGGGTGATGTGGTCAGCATCACACTGGCCACCTTTACTTCCCAGGACTGCCCCCTGGTGCCCACTCAAATTGTTAATTATCAACTAACAAACGAGCCTACTTAATTGGTCAAATATTTCATTGTAGCTGCTTTGGCTTAGGCTTTGCGAGCACGCTTCATAATTCCAAAGTGCGGGGTTTGATCCCAGCTGCAGGCAATCAGACAGCAAGCCCTCATGTTGGTTTTCACAGTGGTACTGAGAGCTGACTGTTCACAAGGCATTGGCAAGCTACTGAATGTATGCTGAGATGATTCTGCAACATCCCTTAACTCTTTGAGTCCCAGGGGGTTTCGCATCACAGGCCCAGCCGGTAGTCAAGAAAGTAATAACATCGGCGCATCATGCGTTCATTGGGCTTCTTGGTAGGAACCTATGAACGTATGATACGTTCCTTGGGACTCAAAGAGTTAAAGCAGTGTTTCCCAAACCTGTCTTTGTCGTGGCACCTTTTTTCAATTAAAATGTTTCCATAGCGTCCTCACCTAAGTAAAAGTATGACTATTCATTTGTAAGAGATCAAAACAAATAAAACTTGTATATCTTTGAATATTTTGCTGCGCCCCTGTCAAGAGGTTGCGGCTCCCCGGGGCGCGGCGGCACACAGTTTGGGAATCACTGCCTTAGAGAATAGTCAAAATTTGCTGGCATGCCTTGGTAGGGCGAAACCAAATGATTTCATAGGTCGCATATGGTCCGCGGATCAGACTTTTCCCAACCCTTGACTTAAGATGATACATGACTGGAAACGACTGATAAGCAACTCTTTCAATAAAAATGGTTAATCTCAAATGGAACAGAGAAACACAGAATTCTAGAGACTGCAGGTGATAACACATATGGTGATGAATCTAGCACAGTGTTACACAGATTAAATATTTGATTTATAAACAACGCGTATGAAATATTATTTAACATATGAACTTTGCCCTCGTAAGCCGGTGGTGAGGTAATACAATATTGGACTAAATGATTGCTGAGAGTCAAACTGGCAAGTTTCACAGTGCTGGAAACAGGAAAGTCAATTCGTTGTTTGCGTATGCTAACCAAGTGTTCTTGAAACGTTCTACAATACTCAGCGGCAAGCCACATGTTCTTGAAATATTTTACAACATTCCATATATCAATTCATTAGTTCTTGAATTGGTATAAAAACAGCCTAACAGATGTTCTAGAATGGTTAATAATCTTATCATGTGTTCTTGAAATGTTATTCATAATTTAACCATGTATCCCTGAAATGTTCTAGAATACTTTATAATCTAACCATGTATGCCTGAAACCTTCTTGAATACTTCATAATCTAACCATGTGTTCTTGAAATGTTATTCATAATCTTACCATGTGTTCTTGAAATGTTATTCATAATTTAACCATGTGTTCTTAAAATGTTATTCATAATCTAACGTGTTCTTGAAATGTTATCTTGAGATATTTTAGAACACTCAATAATCTAACCTTGTGTTCTTGAAATGTTTCAGAACACCCAATAATCTTACCATGTGTTCTTGAAATGTTTTACAATACTATTCCATAGCTAGCCAACAGTCAAAACTGTTGAAACCCCCCCCCCCCCCCCCCCCCCCCCCCCCCCCCCTAACCATCTGTTCTTAAAATGTTCTACAATTCATGGCTCAGGAGGAAAACACAGGGCATACAGACCACTTGAGGTTATACATCGATACATCGTGAGGTCATTCGCAATGCTTTAAATTGGCAACAGGAATTAGTTGATTCCAACACTGTGAAACAAGCTGTGGTTTATGCAGATCTCACCGTCTTTTCACACACAGGAAAAAAAGTTGACGGATAATGTCTTAACATATACTGATTTAATATAACAACCACTAAGAAATATTTGACACAACTGTTGGGCTAAGGATCACAGTTTGAAAAGCCCTGCTCCTTCATAGATACTACGCTGAAGATTCTTTAAGATTGTCAAAATATTCCATGAGCTGTTCGTACGTCATCCCCATAGCCTCGTAGTCCCACTCCGCCTCGTTGTAACCCATCCCACAGTCATCCTCGTCCATCAGTGGGTTAGATGTGATGCGGATACTACACTCGGAGCCCTTGTACGTGGATATCACACTGTTACGATTACTACTAGAACCCGAAGACCCACTCCCGGTAACCCCACTCCCAGTGACCCCACTCGTACTGCTGGCCCCGGCGGTTTCACCATTGTGTGATCTCGGCCGTTGCTGGTCAGAAGATGACCTGTTAGCAACAACCATCTGGTTGCCATTGAAATCTTCCTCCGCCATGAGGGCGTGGTTGCAACCGGCATTCCCGGCTCCGCTGCGTTCTAACGTAGCCCGGCCTATCCACACCCAGTCAGGAGCCTGGGAGATGGAGCCCACCATGACTCGGGAGCTCTTGGGGGAGCACTTCCGCTGGTACCTCACCATGAACACAGCACAATTGGCCGCAAAGACTAGAATGGCGAAGGCAAACACTGCCACCAGGACGTACATGCCGATCTCCAGTGGGGATGGTTGCTTGCTCTTGGTGCTCACAGCCTGGGCTAACGCTTCCGACATTGGTTCTTTCGTGCTTTCATCCAAACCATCAGCCGAGGTGAATGAGTCCAGATGTCCATGGATATCCTCTATAGGAATCACCTGCTGGCGGAAATCAGAAATGAAATTACTGTAATGTAGTCAATGGGAATGAGGATTGAAATTACTGTAATTTAGTTAATGGGAAGAAGGATTGAAATTACTGTAATGCAGTGAATGGGAAAGAGGACTAAAATTACTGTTATATATTCTTAGGAATGAGAAATACAATTATGAAATTACTGTAATGTAGTCAATGAAAACGAGGATTGAAATTACCGTAATGTAGTCATGGGAAGTGAAATTACTATAAAGTAGTCAACATGAAGTGAAATTACTATAATGTAGTCAATAGGAAATGAAATTACTATAATATAGTCATGGGAAGTGAAAATACTATAAAGTAGTCATGGGAAGTGAAATTACTATAATGTAGTCAACATGACTGAAATTACTATGATGCTGTCAAGAGGAACTGAAAATAATATAATGTAGTCAACGGGAACTGAAATTACTATAATGTAGTGAAGAAGAACTGAAATTACTATAATGTAGTCAAGAGGAACTGAAATTACTATAATGTGGTCAACAGGAACTGAAATTACTATAATGCAGTCAAGAGGAACTGAAATTACTTTAATGTAGTAAATAGTATTCAGCAACAAACGTACTAACATGTGATAGGTGAACATGATGATTAAACTTAATGCTATTTAACCCCCCTATCTCTTTCTCCCCAGCCTAGCCTAAAAGTTGAGAACAATTAGTGACTCAGATACTTATTAAAACAGGATCTATGCTACATAGTCACTCACAACAAACCATAAAAGAATACCAGTAACCATGGAAATGAGATGTCTGAGAAAGGCTGCAGTAGTACAGCAGAAGAGATCAAATCAGGATTTGAAGTCACAAGAGAACAAGTCAGCACAGGACAGATTCTAAATTACATACAAAGACAGGAAGTCAAATGGTCTGCCCACTTGGGAGAAAATGCCTTGTCACACCAAAAGAGGCAAAGGAAGCAGAGCGATACCCAAAGAAAATGATGGGAAATTAACATTAGAGATACTCTACAACAACCCAATGTGGCTACAGTGGTCCTACACACACACACACCAGAGCTGCATGCATTCACACAAATATCACAATGAAATGCACACGCACACACACCAAATTCACACACATTTCAAATTTCACTCATGCATATAAGACACACATTCACAAACTCACACATCAGAGCCACAGTCACAAACTCACACAGAGCCACATTCACATACTCACACATCAGAGCCACATTCACATACTCACACATCAGAGCCACATTCACATACTCACACACCATAGCCACATTCACATACTCACACATCAGAGCCACATTCACATACTCACACACCATAGCCACATTCACATACTCACACATCAGAGCCACATTCACATACTCACACACCATAGCCACATTCACATACTCACACATCAGAGCCACATTCACATACTCACACATCAGAGCCACATTCACATACTCACACACCAGAGCCACATTCACATACTCACACATCAGAGCCACATTCACATACTCATACATCAGAGCCACATTCACATACTCACACACCATAGCAACAGTCACACACTAAGACATCATAGCCACATTCACATATTAGAGCCACAGAAAAACACAAGCTCACATATCAGAGCCAAATACACACACACTCCCACATCAGAGCCAAACACACACACCAACTCTCATATCAGACACATACACACACACGTCCACACCACAGCAACACACGCACACACTCCCACATCAGAGCCACACACTCCCTCAACAAGCCACAAACTCTCTCTCTCACATCAGAGCCACACACACAGACACTCCCACAACAGAGCCACATACACAGACACTCCCACATCAGAGCCACATACACAGACACTCCCACATCAGAGCCACATACACAGACACTCCCACATCAGAGCCTCATACACAGACACTCCCACATCAGAGCCACATACACAGACACTCCCACAACAGAGCCACATACACAGACACTCCCACAACAGAGCCACATACACAGACACTTCCACAACAGAGCCACACATACTCCCACAACAGAGCCACACATACTCACACAACAGAGCCACACATACTCACACAACAGAGTCACACATACTCACACAACAGAGTCACACATACTCCCACAACAGAGTCACACATACTCCCACAACAGAGTCACACATACTCACACAACAGAGCCACACATACTCACACAACAGAGTCACACATACTCCCACAACAGAGTCACACATACTCCCACAACAGAGTCACACATACTCACACAACAGAGCCACACATACTCACACAACAGAGCCACACATACTCACATAACAGTCACACATACTCCCACAACAGAGTCACACATACTCACACAACAGAGCCACACATACTCACACAACAGAGCCACACATACTCACACAACAGAGTCACACATACTCCCACAACAGAGCCACACATACTCACACAACAGAGTCACACATACTCACACAACAGAGTCACACATACTCACACAACAGAGTCACACATACTCACACAACAGAGCCACACAAACTCCCACAACAGAGCCACATACACAGACACTCCCACATCAGAGCCACATACACAGACACTCCCACATCAGAGCCACATACACAGACACTCCCACATCAGAGCCTCATACACAGACACTCCCACATCAGAGCCACATACACAGACACTCCCACAACAGAGCCACATACACAGACACTCCCACAACAGAGCCACATACACAGACACTTCCACAACAGAGCCACACATACTCCCACAACAGAGCCACACATACTCACACAACAGAGCCACACATACTCACACAACAGAGCCACACATACTCACACAACAGAGTCACACATACTCACACAACAGAGTCACACATACTCCCACAACAGAGTCACACATACTCACACAACAGAGCCACACATACTCACATAACAGTCACACATACTCCCACAACAGAGTCACACATACTCACACAACAGAGCCACACATACTCACACAACAGAGCCACACATACTCACACAACAGAGTCACACATACTCCCACAACAGAGCCACACATACTCACACAACAGAGTCACACATACTCACACAACAGAGCCACACATACTCACACAACAGAGTCACACATACTCCCACAACAGAGTCACACATACTCCCACAACAGAGTCACACATACTCCCACAACAGAGCCACACATACTCACACAACAGAGCCACACATACTCACATAACAGTCACACATACTCCCACAACAGAGTCACACATACTCACACAACAGAGCCACACATACTCACACAACAGAGCCACACATACTCACACAACAGAGTCACACATACTCCCACAACAGAGCCACACATACTCACACAACAGAGTCACACATACTCACACAACAGAGCCACACATACTCACACAACAGAGTCACACATACTCACACAACAGAGTCACACATACTCACATAACAGTCACACATACTCCCACAACAGAGTCACACATACTCCCACAACAGAGTCACACATACTCACACAACAGAGCCACACATACTCACACAACAGAGCCACACATACTCACACAACAGAGTCACACATACTCACACAACAGAGTCACACAAACTCACACAACAGAGTCACACATACTCACACAACAGAGCCACACAAACTCCCACAACAGAGTCACACATACTCACACAACAGAGCCACACAAACTCACACAACAGAGCCACACAAACTCACACAACAGAGTCACACATACTCCCATAACAGAGTCACACATACTCACACAACAGAGCCACACATACTCACACAACAGAGTCACACATACTCACACAACAGAGTCACACATACTCCCACAACAGAGTCACACAAACTCACACAACAGAGCCACACATACTCACACAACAGAGCCACACATACTCACACAACAGAGCCACACATACTCCCACAACAGAGCCACACATACTCCCACAACAGAGCCACACATACTCCCACAACAGAGCCACACATACTCACACAACAGAGTCACACATACTCACACAACAGAGCCACACATACTCACACAACAGAGTCACACATACTCACACAACAGAGTCACACATACTCACACAACAGAGTCACACATACTCACACAACAGAGTCACACATACTCACACAACAGAGTCACACATACTCACACAACAGAGTCACACATACTCACACAACAGAGTCACACAAACTCACACAACAGAGTCACACATACTCACACAACAGAGTCACACATACTCACACAACAGAGTCACACAAACTCACACAACAGAGCCACACATACTCACACAACAGAGTCACACAAACTCCCACAACAGAGTCACACAAACTCCCACAACAGAGCCACACATACTCACACAACAGAGTCACACATACTCCCACAACAGAGCCACCCACATGCACATTCCCACATCAGAGACACACAATCCAACATCAGAGCCAAATACACACACATTCCCACAACAGAGTCACACATACTCCCACACGAGAGCCACCCACACACACATTCTCACAACAGAGTCACACTAACACACACACTCCCACAACAGAGCTACACACACACTACCACAACAGAGCCACACACACACTCCCACAACAGAGCTACACAAACTCTCATTCTTGAAAGTCAATATAAGGGAAAAGAAAGTTTTTTTACATAAAAAAATAAAAAACAACAATGATGACAAACTCCTACCTTAGGTCCCCCCATCTTGGAGCTCTTGGCATCATCTGCATGTGCCTCACCAGGTGGCTTGTGGTGGTTATGGTGTGGCTGTTGTTGTTTGTGGTAGTTGTTCTGCTGATGCTTGAAGTACTCCTCCTTGTTATTGAAATGATCCTGGTGGTGGTGGTTGTTGTTGTTGTTGCCATGGCGGCGGTCGCTGGCGCGGTTGTAGTAGTAGCCATCACTCTGTATGACGTTGTAGACGTCCATGTCCTTGGTGAAGTCAACCTACGGAGGCAAAGGTTAAAATTGATAGCATCGACTGTGTTACACTGCATCATCCCACAGGGACTGGTTCACCTAGGGAGGCAAAGGTTAAAGTTGACAGCATCGACTGTGTTACGCTGCATCATCCCACAGGGACTGGGTCACCTAGGGAGGCAAAGGTTAAAGTTGACAGCATCGACTGTGTTACACTGCATCATCCCACAGGGACTGGTTCACCTAGGGAGGCAAAGGTTAAAGTTGACAGCATCGACTGTGTTACACTGCATCACCCCACAGGGACTGGGTCACCTAGGGAGGCAAAGGTTAAAGTTGACAGCATCGACTGTGTTACACTGCATCACCCCACAGGGACTGGGTCACCTAGGGAAGCAAAGCTTAAAGTTGACAGCATCGACTGTGTTACACTGCATCATCCCATAGGGACCGGTTTGCCGATAGACGACTTTGATTTTTTTTGCATCAACACCGTAGGAGTCCTTTTTAGGGCTCTTGGTGGTGTGCAATGCTAACCCATTTAAACGTCGCACATAACCTAGTCGTAATTATAATCTAAAGCTTCCCCTTCTGAGATCCAAGTTGAATGCGACGATTTTCCAATTGTTTGCCTTTAAAAACTGATGATGATGATGATGAATTGTTGCACCAGGTTTTATCCGATATGGCTCGGCCTTCCTCCTAAGAATGGCTAGACGCCTGTCGAGAGCGTCATAGAAAGTGCGACCTCAATAGGTCAGGTGACGATTCCCAATAGTCTCTGTAAAAACTGCACTCACAGTCCATGCCGTGTTGTGTTGGTAGTCATGTCTGCCCACAAACTTCTGTCTCATGTAATTTCACTCAGTTCTGATACAGATGATTTTTCCATGCAATGATGTCAGACTATCCAACATCTACTCTCTCAAGTCTCCCTCTTTTCCCCCCTCCCCCTTTCCAACTCGCACGATGTACTCCAGCATTCTCCTCCTCATTACATGAACAAAGAATGTTCACCATCTCCTTCTGATGTAGGCAATCAGTTCTCTTAGTGGGTCAGTTTCTTTCAGGACATCCTCATTACTCTATCTGTGTTCTCATCAACAACACCACATATCTGATGCTTCCAAATAATTTTTTAATTGCTCGTTCAACTGCCCATGATTCACTTTCTTATATCAGGATAGGATTTATATAGCTCTTGAGAATTCTCTTTCTCATCTCAACGGACAAAGAAAAATTGCTTAGAATATTCTTCATCATCTGAGGGTCTAGTCCAGAGGTTCTCAAACTTTTCTGGCCACGGCACCCCGGTCAGGCAAAAAATGTTCACGGCACAGCTACCCTTAAAGCGGTTTGAATACTTGGGGGAAAAAAAACAGTGCTCATTTAATGTTCAGTTGTCATTAATGCGATGAATGAAACTGTTTGGATGATTTTTTAAAAATTATTTTCTTTATATTTATGGGAAGTTTTTTATTTAATTTTACCCTCAAATCACTTGACCCAAAAAGTTTGCTCCTCTATCTGATTTTTATGTAAGGTACGTTGAGAATGTGCTGCATCCAGAAATGTTCTTGGCTTCCTTCACAGTATTTCTGTTTTAAACTACTGTCTTTGCTGGTCTCAAGCAGATTTGGAACACATCTTTATTACTGCCGCCGCAACCCTGGCATACGTTCGCGGCAACTATGGCATACGTTCACGACACCCCTGGCATACGCTCGCGGCAGTTATCTCACCCTCTAGCCATTAACATGTCTAAGAAGGGAAAGATGTGAGTTGCCAAACAGCCACCAAGAAAGAAAGAAAGAAAGAAAGAAAGAAAGAAAGAAAGAAAGAAAGAAAGAAAGAAAGAAAGAAAGAAAGAAAGAAAGAAAAGAGAGAGAGAGAGAGAGACAGAGAGAGAGAGGGAGGGAGGGGGAGGGAGAGAGGGGAGAGAAAGAGAGAGAGGGAAGGAGAGAGAGAGAGAGAGGGGGGGAGAGAGAGAGAGAGAGGGGAGAGAGAGGGGGAGAGAGAGAGAGGGAAGGAGAGAGAGAGGAGAGAGAGAGGAGAGAGAGAGAGAAAGCCCCAATATTTTCCTTGGTGCTGTGATCCATATCCCGCTGTAACAAAAATGAAACCCTGGAAGGTCAGGGATTGTGAAATGCATGTCATAGTGCCACACAGAAGACAGATTAAGAGCCCTATGTGCATACCTGTACATGGACATACTCTGTGTCCAGGGTACGAGGCTTCTTCCTGTTGCAGACGCCACTCTCCCTCAGGATGACACGGACAATTTCCCCCTTTCCGTTGCCAACTGCCTTGATGCTGGGGGGCAGGGAGGGGGCGGAGCTGATGGACTCAGCGACCTCCACCACATCTGGGTTCACCGATGTGACCTTCAGCTCAAACTCCGCAGGGTCAACCCGGAACAGGGGCAGCATAGTTTCGTCCTTAAACTCCACAGCAATATCCAAAACGGCCTCCTACAAGAAACAAGACATAGTCATGAAAACAATGACATCCTTTTGTATACTATTTTCTTTCTGTGTGCCACTTTTTGTTTGGTTAGGGAAGACTATAAAGAAACATATACAAGAAACAGAGCAGTATAAAAGATATGACAGAAACAGCAGTATAAAAGATCTGTTAGCGTCAATGATGAACTGCATTTCTAATGTCAAACTGTTCGTGTTAGCACTTCTCATGGCAACCGAATGCTTTTAATGCGTGTGTATGCTAGTGCATATGCCGAGACAGCAGTCTGTCAATCTTTCCACAAGGGACTGCGACGAACATTTGTGTGTTTTTTGTTGGCACAGGAGCGGAGCAACTATGGGGTGACTCGTTTGATATGAAGCTGAAACTAAGATTACCAAGATTATCAAGTATAAAAGATCGGACAGAAAGAGTAGTATAAAAGATATGACAAAAACAGTAGTATAAAAGATATGACAAAAACAGTAGTATAAAAGATATGACAAAAACAGTAGTATATAGGGTATGACTGACACAAAGCAATATACAAGGTAAGATAGAAGCAGTATAAAAGATAAGATAAATAGAAGAGCGGTATAAGGGAAAGACAGAAACAGCAGTACACAGGATATTACAGAAACAACAGTATAAAAGATCTGATAGAACAGCAGTAATAAGGATAAGATAGAAACAGTATAAAAGATCTGATAGAACAGCAGTAAAAAGGATAAGATAGAAACAGTATAAAAGATCTGATAGAACAGCAGTAATAAGGATAAGATAGAAACAGTATAAAAGATCTGATAGAACAGCAGTAATAAGGATAAGATAGAAACAGTATAAAAGATCTGATAGAACAGCAGTAATAAGGATAAGATAGAAACAGTATAAAAGATCTGATAGAACAGCAGTAATAAGGATAAGATAGAAACAGTATTAAAGATAATACAAGTACAAGGCAACAAGATAATTATATTAAAGAATACAGAAAACGAACTTAAGTAAAGGAAAAGCATAAACATAGGAAAAATCAACAAGAAAATTAGATAAAATGCAATAGAAACCAGGAACATAAAGCAATATTTTTGAGAAGCAACCAGAAGGGTGGGTAGCCACCATGATGCAGCAGCAACATGCTCGACTGTGAGTCCAAAGGTCATGGGTTTAAATCCAAAAGGAACCAGACTTGAAAAAAAAAATGGCCGTGGCTCCCATATCAACCCAGCCTTTAATAGGTACAAGAGAAAGTCCTCAGAAGTAAAGTTGGCTGGCGCGATTATTACCACATCCCCTATTTAGTGCCGACTGGTCTATAGAGTCGAGGTCTAGCTTTATATGCCTGAAAGCGTAGAAAATGATCCTTTACTATATGCTCAAATGGGCACATGACAACTCTAGGTAGTGGGGATATACCTGGACAACCCTAGTTGGGGGTGGCAGAGAGCAGATACCATAAACAACCCTAGTTGGGAAAAGAGGGGGGGGGGGGGCAACCATGACACCTTGAGTTGGGGGTAAGAAAGCACTATGACACCTGGAGTTGGGGGTAAGGGTGCACCATGACACCTTGAGTTGGGGGTAAGAAAGCACTATGACACCTTGAGTTGGGGGTAAGAAAGCACTATGACACCTGGAGTTGGGGGTAAGGGTGCACCATGACACCTTGAGTTGGGGGTAAGGGTGCACCATGACACCTTGAGTTGGGGGTAAGGAAGCACTATGACACCTTGAGTTGGGGGTAAGGAAGCACCATGACAGCTTGAGTTCGGGGTAAGGAAGCACTATTACACCTGGAGTTGGGGGTAAGCGGGCACCATGACACCTGGAGTTGGGGGTAAGGAAGCACTATGACACCTTGAGTTGGGGGTAAAGAAGCACTATGACACCTGGAGTTGGGGGTAAGGGGGCACCATGACATCTTGAGTTGGGGGTAAGGAAGCACTATGACACCTGGAGTTGGGGGTAAGGAAGCACTATGACACCTTGAGTTGGGGGTGAGGGGGCACCATGACACCTGGAGTTGGGGGTAAGGGGGCACCATGACACCTGGAGTTTGTGGTAAGGGGGCACCATGACACCTGGAGTTGGGGGTAAGGGGGCACCATGACACCTGGAGTTGGGGGTAAGGGGGCACCATGACACCTGGAGTTGGGGGTAAGGGGGCACCATGACACCTGGAGTTTGGGGTAAGGGGGCACCATGACACCTGGAGTTGGGGGTAAGGGGGCACCATGACACCTGGAGTTGGGGGTAAGGGGGCACCATGACACCTTGAGTTGGAGGTAAGCACCACGACATCCTTTGTTGGGGGTGAGGGCAACATATCAACCCTTGATGAGAGTGGGGGTACCATGACTACACTAGTTGTGAGTGACATGCCAGCCATAGATGAAGTACCACATGTGACATACCACCAAACTACTATATCCGGCCGACAAGGTACATACCTGCTGTTTCGCCACGAGCACGTCTCGGAGATGCACTGTAGCCATGATAGCTCCCGGCAAGTTCTTGTCTTCAGAAATCTGTAGCGCCATGCCGCTGATCACATGCACCACCATTCGCTCAATGTCGACCTTGTCGCTGCCGACTCGCACCTCCTTGGCACCTAGCAGCTTTCCAGTGGGCGAAATCACCTGGTGTAAAAAAAAAAAAAAAACCTCATTTCAAAATCAATTTTCCCTGTGTGGGTTCTGGGTCAAACAAGAACAGACCCAGTGCCTCCCCCCAATCGGCATGTCGTCGCAGTAGACGACCAATTGGGGCCAGCCATTAAAGTTGGATAAGTCAGATCTGTATGGATGTGCTTGCAACAATCAGGTTGTGGAGAAATACAGAAGTTTAAACGTCGACAAACAACTAGAACTTTCCGCTGGAGTTTACAGCCGGTGAATGTGAAGAAGAAGAAGAAAAAGAAGAAGAAGAAGAAGAAGAAAAAGAAGAAAAAAAAAATAAATGTATTCAGTAAACTGCTGCCCAGAGAAAGCTGTTTGTCCAGCATTTACAGGTACAGAAGTATTTTAAATCAGTGATTTCCAAACTGTGGTGCCCCAGAAAGCCGCGACCTCTTCACACATGCGCCACAAAATATTAGAAGATACACAAGTTTTATTTTTTTGTCATCTCTTACATTCGAATAGTCCTACTTTTACTTAGGTCAGGGCACCGTGGAAACATTTTAATTGAAAAAAAAAAAAGTGCAGCAACTGAGACAAGTTTGGGAAACACCGTTTTAAATGAACTGTCAACAAACCCTCCAAGGTTATTCTTTCAAAGTGTGTGCTTCAAAGATGAATGTTTCAACCCCTCCACAGTTAATGATAAGAACTGCAGTACAAGTCAAGAGGCGACCAAGAAAGACATGGGTGGAAGGAGTAAAGTAGACACTACAAAAATGCAATATAATATTAGCACAAGATATGCGACTAGTGAAAGACACAAAACTACACCTAACTGCTCTCTGCGATGCATTATAGCAGGGCTTATCAACTGGCAGTCCATAGTTAAAGAGGATAAAAGGAGCAGATATTGTAGACTGTACAGATGTGAGAGTTGGACTCGCTGTGGAAGAATCCGGGACATTAAATCTAGTCTATTATTGAAGAATCAAAGCAACAATCAGTTCCTAGCACGATCTTTGCAATGGCGGGATCGGCCACCGCCAATCGATTCTGTATAAGGGAAGTCACTCTCACGTATGTCTTCTTGCTGCGATAGTACTCAATGCTCTCCCCTGGGGCATTGATGATGAACCGGGCATAAACATCGATGAGAGACTGCTGGTACTTGGGGCTGCAGCTCTGGTTCGCTACAGGTTCCTTTCCTCTGCCAACTATCACATTTGTGTGGGTTAGAAGTCCAAGATCTACACTTCTTTTCTCCCTGAGGAACAATTTGTAGAATGTCAGAACAATTATGCGGACAGTATACGTGACTATGTGAGTCGCCGTGGCCGAGCGGCTAGACGCTCGCCGCGGATCGGAAGGTCGTGGGTTTGCTCCCTGGCGGAGCCGGATTTTTTTCAAAAATGACCTTGGCTCCCAGGTCGACCCACCCTTGAGTGGGTACCAGGTGCAGTCCCGGGAAAGTGAAGGCGGTCGTCGTGATACTGATCATATCGCCCATCTAGTGCCGATTGGTCTATAAAAATATAGGTCTAGCCCTATATGCCTTAGGGCGTGGAAAAGGGTCCTTTACTTTACTTTACTTATACGTGACTATACGTAGACCATCAATATGTTTGAACATGTTATGAGAAGGAAGGGACTCGAGAACTTGGTGACAACTGGCAAGATTGTTGGCAAGAGAGCAAGAGGAAGGCAAAGAGATAAATACCTAGATGTCTCGGCCAGATGGATGAGGCGAGACAAAAACACTGAACTGATCTGTGATTCTGGTGAGCGTGTGAGGTGGCAAAACATTGAAAATCATATGCATACTGGATCAGCTAGGCACATAATGATGATGATGATACGTTGTGTGAAATAATGTGACAAATATGTAAATAAACTGGTATCCGAAGGCTTCACAAATCATACCTCAAAGAAAAATGGCTTTATCAACATTCAAGACAGACTTTTAGTATCACACACGTCAAACATATAGAACGGACATTCTGTTCCACAGATCTATCAAATATTAAAAACAGACTTTACGTGCCACACATCAAACATAAAATACAGACTTTCTGTACCAAGAATCTTTCAAATATATAGTACCGACTCTGTACCAGGCATTCAACAAAAAAATAATATACACTTTCTGTACCATACACGTATCAGATATACAATACAGACTTTCTGTACGAAGAATCTATCAAATACACAATAGAGACTCTGTACCAGGCATTTATCAAATATAAAATACAGACTTTCTGTACCGGTATCAAACACAAGGTGCAACAGTACATGCCATCTTACATCGTATTCTGAGGCTTCTCAACTCTCCAGCCTCGAACCTGACTAAGCTTTGAGTCTGATAGCTGGATATCTAGCCGAGGTTCTGGAACCCACACCCTGACGGCTAGCTGGGCCATGCGTTCCGCCGTCCTCACCAAAACTGTAACATTCTTCGCCCCCCGAGTCTCGCTTCCATCCAGAAATATGTGGTCACAGGATGCGGCAACCTGCAACAAATCGTTTGTAAAATAGGGATAAAATAAACACCCTCTGGGTGCAAAATCAAATATAAGCACCCTCTGGTGCAAAATCAAATATAAACACCCTCAGGGTGCAAAATCAAATATAAACATCCTCAGGGTGCAAAATCAAATATAAACACCCCCAGGGTGCAAAATCAAATATAAACACCCTCAGGGTGCAAAATCAAATATAAACACCCTCAGTGCGCAAAATCAAATATAAACACCCGCAGGGTGCAAAATCAAATATAAACACCCCAGGGTGCAAAATCAAATATGAACACCCCCAGGGTGCAAAATCAAATATAAACACCCTCAGGGTGCAAAATCAAATATAAACACCCCAGGGTGCAAAATCAAATATAAACACCCTCAGTGCGCAAAATCAAATATAAACACCCTCAGGGTGCAAAATCAAATATAAACACCCCAGGGTGCAAAATCAAATTAAACACCCACTGGATGCAAAATTAATATAAACACCCTCAGGGAACAAAATCAAATTAAACACCCTCAGGGCGCAAAATCAAATATAAACATGGCCGATTCTCTCCCATTCTGCATACATGTCCAAATCATCGTAACGGTGACGGATCCACTCGGGTTTGTAAGGCCTCAGTTTTAGGATCATGAGGTATTGTCTGGTCTGAACTTTGTTCCTTCTTGTCACCTGAATGACCTTTCACAAATACCTAATTTCTGAGGCCTGAAGCTGGCTTCAATGGTTCGGCCTTCTAGTGAAAATGCAGCAAGACCAAACTGCATTTGAGACCTTTTACAGCAGAGCATCAGGGAGGAAGATGAGGGGAAGACCAAGAAAGCGATGGATAAATGGTGAAGCTGAAACCTGTAAAGAGATGGAACAACTCCACCACCAAGCTACACAACAAGCGCAAGACAAATACAGACAATATGGCACAGTAATTTCGGTCACAGGTGCGAGGGAAAATTAAGTACGATGTGATGTGTAAAGGGAGACACTCGGTACCTCACTCGGGTGCCAGCCTTTCACTGTTCTGGTTTTACGGAACCTCATGCAAGACTCCAGCTGCATGTCCCTAGCGTGGGCTATAGACACCACACAAATGGGGCAACATCTCGTCCCACAAAACAATGGCCAGTCATCCTAGAGATAGGTCTGATGTCTTTCCTAAAATTCGGAGTACATCTGTGGTTGGGGCAGGAAACGAGAACTGCACACAAATAAGCCTGAGTAAAAAAACTCAGGTCCAGTAAAAGCAAAAGTCTCAACAAAACAAAAGGAAGCAGAGGTGCTGAAGCACGCATGGCGGTGCACCAAGATTAATTCTATGTTCTTATTTTCACCCAAGTAACATAAATGCGTTATGCCTGTTTAAAGCATGGCTGTAATGTTTACGTCTTTCAGCCAACACATTCGACTTCCTTGGACACTTGCTATCTGGGTTAGACTTCCACGAGACCCGGGCTCTCAGACTGGTCAACCCTCAATCATCAACGCAGAAAATGTTTTCCCAACCAAGTAGATAGCATCCACATTTCTTTCAAAGTCAGAGTGCATCTGCCTGAGAAGAAGGGAACCATCAGTCTGCACAAAATTAAGCCAGATCTGTCAAATGGATGTGAATATAAAACTAAGCCTTGGAACAAGATCAATGTTTAAAAGTTGATAAAAACTATGGCTTTCCACTTGAATTTACAGCATATGAACATAAAGAGGAGAAGCAACAATAACATCTGCAATTACATACTGAGAAAAAGTGTAGTGGCCATCTTTAAACTGTCGCTATGATGTCATCAAGTTCTTCTGCACTGTGATGTTACAAGCTTCACACTCCTGACATCCTTAACAACAATACTGACATGTTACAAGACAATGACATGATTAATGTAATTTCTATTCCTTACACTGCACACCTTTTTCATTCTCTTCTCCCCTTTCTACATATCCAAGATATGAGAATCAACTTCAACTCCTACTGGGTATGTTGAACAAGTAGACACTAAAATGGCTGCTGCATCTGAGGACGGAGCACAAATGTGTCGGACCGACGTGTTAGGATGTCGATACAGACAACAAGTAACAAGTAATGTCCATAACATTTTTGAAGAGACCTTGTAAAAAACAGCCCCTGCAAAGCCACACAAAAATGTACCTTCATGACGGCCACAAGACTGTCCATCTGGTTTGTGGCCACATTCAACTTAGCAGCAATCCTGCTACCCTCGGGGGAGAAGTAGGCATTCCTGGAGAGTCCATTCTTCTTGTAGTCCACAGTCCAAACGATTCTCACCATAGCTGGGGGATTTGAAGCAGACAGGACCTTGAACTGCCACTGCATGATCTCCTCTTGCCTGAGAGTCAAACAGTAACAGATGTTATTACATATGATTAGGAATGAACCCAATGAACTGTGACTAAAAAGCTTAACAAAATGGGGAAGCAAAATAACATGCGCATCATCATTATCATGTGACCTGCCAACTGTCTCCACAGATCACAATCCCTGGTTGCTCGGAACAGCTCTCTTGATGATATCCCTCCCTGCCATCGTTTCAGCCCATCCTGCATCATCTCTCTTGGTCTGCCTCTACCCATTTTTCCACTGATCTTTCCGGATGTCACGATGTTCTCCAATGTCTCTCTTCTCATTATGTGGCCAAAGAACAGTGTTTGTCTCTTTCCTATTGTTTTTATACAGAGATCTACTTTCATTAGCTTTTTTCAAGCCATCGTTGTTAGTTACTCTATCCGTCCAAGGTATTCGTAACATTCGTCTCAGAAACCACATCTCTGTTGCTTCCAAATTCTTCCTAATTTGTTCACTGACATTACAATATTCACTGCCATACAGCAGAACAGGTTCTATGTAACATTTTAGCAGCCTCTTTCTGACATTAAATGAGAGCGATTTATTGCATATGATATTTTTCATTTTCTGAAATGCTGCTTTTAATCTCTGTCACACATTTTCCATCTGATGATATGACTGTTCCCAGATATTTGAATTTATTGACTAACATGAGCAACACAATACAAATGGACGTTTTGCCAGGGGTCTTTCTCGACATGAACTGAACTACCTTCAGTTAAGCTTTTTAGTCACAGTTCATTGGATTGATCCCTTGGTATAGGCTCGACTGCAGTCACCCCTAGTTTCATTATGTTTAACAAGTCTTCTTCCTCTCCTTCGCGTTCACCAGCTGTAAACCCGAGGAGAAAGTTCTGGGTGTTCATCCACCCTAAACTTTAGACTTGTTCCAGAACCTGAGTGTTACGCGCACATCCGTTTCACAGATCTGACTTATTTGTATGCAGACTGTAGGTTCCTTGCCTCTCAAGCAGATGCACTCCAAAGGAAACCACCAATTAGTCGACTCTTAGGACATGCTTGTTGCGGAGGCAGCGGGTCTGTTAATACCCCCCCCCCCCCCCCACCCTCACAATGGTGCCAGCAACACACACAGGGAATTCCTAATAAGTAAAATCCATACATTGAAAGACCAACCAAATGGAGGTGAGCAGTGATTCTGGAAGATTTTCAACACTCAGGGGAAACATAGGCAGACTTTCAGTCAGGTGGCAAAAGGTTAGCATGTCAGCATTATGCTAGCTACTGAAGATGGGGACAGAGCATGTATGGGAACGTCCCGAGTTCAGTGATGGCAGTTCTTGATTCATTCATTTATTCATTATTAAGTTAAAAAAAAAGTTGAAGGCTATGACAGCACACAGGTATGGAGAAATGAATAAAGAAAGAGAGACTGTCAGTCTTGCTGTGATGACAGCAACTTTCTGTAAAGGATCTATCTGTGATAACAGCAATGTTCTGTCAAGGATCTATCTTTGATGACAGCAACGTTATGTAAAGGATCTATCTTTGACGACAGCAACATTCTGTAAAGGATCTATCTTTGATGACAGCAACATTCTGTAAAGGATCTATCTGTGATGACAGCAACTTTATGTAAAGGATCTATCTGTGATGACAGTAACTTTCTGTAAAGGATCTATCTGTGATGGCATCAACTTTCTGTAAAGGATCTATCTGTGATAACAGCAATGTTCTGTCAAGGATCTATCTTTGATGACAGCAACGTTATGTAAAGGATCTATCTTTGATGACAGCAACATTCTGTAAAGGATCTATCTTTGATTACAGCAACGTTATGTAAAGGATCTATCTTTGACGACAGCAACATTCTGTAAAGGATCTATCTTTGATGACAGCAACATTCTGTAAAGGATCTATCTTTGATGACAGCAACCTTCTGTAAAGGATCTATCTGTGATGACAGCAACGTTCTGTCAAGGATCTATCTGTGATGACAGCAACGTTCTGTCAAGGATCTATCTGTGATGACAGCAACTTTATGTCAAGGATCTATCTGTGATGACAGCAACTTTATGTAAAGGATCTATCTGTGATGACAGTAACTTTCTGTAAAGGATCTATCTGTGATAACAGCAATGTTCTGTCAAGGATCTATCTTTGATGACAGCAACATTCTATAAAGGATCTATCTTTGATGACAGCAACATTCTATAAAGGATCTATCTTTCATGACAGCAACATTCTGTAAAGGATCCATCTTTGATGACAGCAACATTCTGTAAAGGATCTATCTGTGATGACAGCAACATTCTGTAAAGGATCTATCTTTGATGACAGCAACGTTCTGTAAAGGATCTATCTTTGATGACAGCAACATTCTGTAAAGGATCTATCTGTGATGACAGCAACCTTCTGTAAAGGATCTATCTGTGATGACAGCAACGTTCTGTAAAGGATCTATCTGTGATGACAGCAACGTTCTGTCAAGGATCTATCTGTGATGACAGCAACTTTATGTCAAGGATCTATCTGTGATGACAGCAACTTTATGTAAAGGATCTATCTGTGATGACAGTAACTTTCTGTAAAGGATCTATCTATGATGACAGCAACCTTCTGTAAAGGATCTATCTTTGATGACAGCAACGTTCTGTAAAGGATCTATCTTTGATGACAGCAACATTCTGTAAAGGATCTATCTTTGATGACAGCAACATTCTGTAAAGGATCTATCTTTGATGACAGCAACCTTCTGTAAAGGATCTATCTTTGATGACAGCAACGTTCTGTAAAGAATCTATCTTTGATGACAGCAACTTTCTGTAAAGGATCTATCTTTGATGACAGCAACGTTCTGTAAAGAATCTATCTTTGATGACAGCAACATTCTGTAAAGGATCTATCTGTGATGACAGCAACATTCTGTAAAGGATCTATCTTTGATGACAGCAACATTCCGTAAAGAATCTATCTTTGATGACAGCAATGTTCTGTAAAGGATCTATCTGTTGACTGATCCTGAACAAAGTTAAAAACAACACCAAGAGGCAACAGATCAAATGGTTTGGACATGTGTCAAGACTACCAATAGATGGTGCACCACAGAGAGCCTTGTTACTCAGACACAAATAAAGCAAAACTAGAGGCTGACTACGCAAACAATGGATTGACATCTTAAGCCCTAAATATCAGCATCCACGAAGCAAATACCAAGTATCGTACCTGATGCCTCTTTCGGACATAGCGCTGAAAAAGACTGACTAGAGAAAAAGAAAAAGAGTTAAAACAGATGATTATAAAACATGTTTCCCCAACGATTTTCATTAAGCAATGGCTACCTCATTCTACAAAACACTACAGCTCAACAAACAAATGAGTTGGTGGCTCCACTGAAAGAGAAGAAGAAAAGAAGAAAAAAAAAGAAAAGAAAAAGAAAGAAAGAAAGAAGAAAAGGAAGAGAAGGAGGAGGAAGAAAAGAAGAAAAGAAGAAGAAGACAAGAATACTTACTGGAAACTCTTGCTGTTCTTCACATCCTCCTTCAGAGAAACAGTCACTTGAGCAATTCCATCCTTGTCCCCGGCCTCAAAGAGAACATTCCAGGGGCTGTTGGCCACCGGTGAGGCTCCTTCAACCAGCAGACCTCCTCGAACCTTCACCCTGGATGAAAGGAAAAAAAACTGAGCTTTGGGAGGGAACTGAACAAATTCCAGTGAATCAAGATGTGAGGAGAAGATGCTGGCATTAGATAGGCCATGTGGTGAGAAAACCTGACAACAATACAACTAGAATGTGTTTTCACTGGAACCTACAAGGTCAAAGGAAGAGAGAAGTGAAAAAATTCAAGTTAATCAAGAGGTGAGTAAAGATGCTGGCACTGAAATGGACCAAAACTTTTGATTTTTGGTGCTACGCAGTACCTTTAATGACAACTCCCTTTATTTAATTAACAATTTTGTTTCTGTAAATATGTTAATGACCATTGTAAAAGCTTTTTTAAAAGCATCCCCCCCCCCCCCCCCCCTCAAGAATTACGATGGCATTATGAAATTATGTGTGCGTGTGTGGGTGGGAATGTGGGGGGGGGGGTGACAAGGTTAAAGATGGTGACGAAGGTAACTGGTCACCCCAACTAATTGATGGACTATGATGATGATGATGATAAAGGTGATGATAAAGGTAATTACTATGACTATGATGGTGATGCTGATGAGGGAGGTGATGATTACTGTGATGACGATGGGGACAATCACTATGATGGTGATGATGATGGTGGAGGTGATGATTACTGTGGTGACGATGAAGGCAATGATGGTGTTAGTGATGATGATGGTGGAGGTGATGATCACTGTGGTGACGATGAGGGCAATGACTATGATGGTGATAGTGATGCTGATAGTGGAGGTGATGATTACTGTGGTGACGATGAGGGCAATGACAATGATGGTGATAGTGATGATGATGGTGGAGGTGATGATTACTGTGGTGACGATGAGGGCAATGACTATGATGGTGATAGTGATGATGATAGTGGAGGTGATGATTACTGTGGTGACGATGAGGGCAATGACAACGATGGTGATAGTGATGATGATGGTGGAGGTGATGATTACTGTGGTGACGATGAGGGCAATGACTATGATGGTGATAGTGATGATGATGGTGGAGGTGATGATTACTGTGGTGACGATGAGGGCAATGACAATGATAGTGATAGTGATGATGATGGTGGAGGTGATGATTACTGTGGTGACGATGAGGACAATGACAATGATGGTGATAGTGATGATGATGGTGGAGGTGATGATTACTGTGGTGACGAGGAGGGCTATGACTATGATGGTTATAGTGATGATGATGGTGGAGGTGATGATTACTGTGGTGACGATGAGGGCAATGACTATGATGGTGATAGTGATGCTGATAGGGGTGATGATGATTACTGTGGTGACGATCAGGGCAATGACTATGATGGTGATAGTGATGCTGATAGGGGTGAGGTTAGTAGCGATGACAAAAGTGGTAATAATGATGATGATAAAAGTAATGATGATAAATAAAGATGTAACACAACAAAGAAGAACACTTCAAATTACTACTCACTGTATCACAAATTCCTTGAGTGGTGAATTTTTCCCTACCAAAACTGGGACCTGAAACCTGCTATTAGGCCTCAAATCTCCCTGCGGAACCCTAAAAATGAGATCCTTATCCTTATACTCATCATAAATTATTGAATCCCTTGCAAGTTGTATTAAGGAGATAAATTTAGTATCCAAACTAGCAGGGTTGGGGTCGGCTCGAGCAGGTACGATAGTATTTGACATACTGGCACACTCCTGGTTCTGCTCTACCCGCGACAGGTCATAGGCCACAGAAATGTTGAGACCCGATAAAGTCGCATTCGATGTGTCCCACCAGTGATCCGGGACCTGCAAACCGGCCACGCAGGCATTGCTGTCTCCGTTCAGAACACAAACAGAAGTGTACTGTTCTTCCCCCCTGGAAATGAAGATTTGAGCACACCATCTTTGACTGTATCCATAGTAGCTGTAAATGAGATCCTGCTTGTGTCTTTGGGTGAGCGGCAGAGCATGAACTAACACCTGGACCATGGGGTTCGAACGACTGACCATCTGGGACACCAGATGAGCGCTGATGTCCATGTTATGAATAACATATCGGTGCATGCCGGACTCTGTCTTGTCGAACAGCTCCCCGTATTTGATAATGTTTGTGATGACCTCATTTGGTACTACCTGTTTCATAAAAAGAAAATTCAGGATATCATGAATCAGCACTTCAATAATTCATCAGCATCATTATCATTAAGATATTGTCCCATTTTATATCACACAGGACTTACAGTCTATTCCTCCATCCCGTTTTAATCTATGCAATCAATTCAACATCATGGACAGAATTCAATCCGGCACCTTTAGCTTCTCTCATCAACCTTCATATTAGGGTTTCTAGTGGACATCCTCGGTTGCTCAGTCCTTTTATTCTCCATTTTAGTAATTAATTATTTAATCAATTTTTTTGATTAATTAATTAACATGGCAGTGGTACATAGGGCACATGAAGCTAGACTGAAATGTCCATAGACCAATCTGCAATTAGCAGGCCATGCAGCCAACATCTCATCTGCCACTTTCACTTTCCAGAACTACAGCTATTTTTCTTTTTCTGGCAGTATGCAGTAGTAGCAGTTTTTAAACAAATTTTTTAAGGCATCACATAATTAGCGCTACTGTAAAAGATAGCCAGCACATTTCTATAAAGCACCGGCACCTTTCTAATCAAAGAAAAGACGTGCCCCGGACATTACCTGGTACCCATTTTAGACTGGGTGGACCTGGCACCCCAGTGAACATTTTATTAACTATCTTAGTTTAAAAACTATCTTCAAATTTACTATCTATCTTCAAATTTAATAACTATCTTCAAATTTACTATCTATCTTCAAATTTAATAACTATCTTCAAATGTAAAAACTATCTTCAAATTTACTATCTATCTTCAAATTTAATAACTATCTTCAAATTTAATAACTATCTTCAAATGTAAAAACTATCTTTATATTTAATAACTATCTTTATATTTAATAACTATCTTTAAATTTAATAACGATCTTTAAATTTAATAACTATATTCAAATTTGATAACTATCTTCAAATTTAATAACTATCCACCACAATGTGGATTCTTCCCCTTCTTAGCAATCACTAGCTGTAAACTCCGGCAGAAAATTCTGGCTGTTTATCCACTTCTAGACTTTGATTTTGTTCCTGAACTTTTTGTGTGTGTGCACATCTGTTTTACTCAGTCTAGCTTATTTGCATGCAGAATGTTGGCTCTTCACCTCTCATTCTACTAAATGTTTGCAGTACCTGCTAATTAACATTAGTTCTGAAGTAGCCACTCCCTCCCTATCTTTATCTATCACGATTCCATGCACATCTAATATTCTTCTTCTTCGCGTTCACCAGCTGTAAACTCCTGCGGAAAGTTTTGGTTGTTCATCCACTTCTGGACTGCAGTCCTGTTCCAGAACGTGAGTGCTGCATGTGCATCCATTTTACAGATTTGACTCATTTGTATGCAGACTGCTGGTTCCTTGCCCCTCAGGCAGATGCACACCCACTTCAAAGGAAGCTCCCAGTTAGTTGACTCTTACAACATGCTTTTGTGTAGGCAGTGGGTCTGTTCTTGTGTTCCCCACAATAGGGCCCCCAGAACCCAGACAGGGAATCTAATATCTAATTAAGTAAAATTATTCAAAAAAGTCATCATCATAAAATTCTCAAAATTCTCTTTGCAAGGAAAGGACTCTTTTGTTGTTGTTATTGTTGCCAGTCCCAAATCTGGTAGATAAAAAAGTAAAAGGTAAAGGATCCTTTCCCACACCTTCAGGCAAACAGGGCTAGACCTATGTTTTACAGACCAGTCGGTATTTGGTATGTGATGTGGAGTCAGCACTCCGCTGGCCGCTCTTACTTCCCAGGAAGGCACCTGGTACCCACTCAAGGCTGCGTCAACCTGGGAGCCAAAGTCCTTTTTTGAAAAACAAAAACAAAGTGGGGCTCTGTCAGGACCTGAACCCCAGACTTTCTGATTCGCAGGCGAGTGTCTAGCCGCTACACCACGGCGAGACCCATCATTGTCATTTTTTTTAGACCAATCGTCAAAAGATGAGTGATGTGGTCAACATCATACCAGAAATTATTTTTAGCGGTGTTTAAACAGAGGTTAGTTGTTTATAGTCATGCCAACCTTCTTTAATAGCCCCTTATGACATGCTTGACATGTTACAGTGTTGCAAATGCCCCTCGCCCCCACCCCCTTTCCGCAACACACTCATACACATAAAAAAGAAGAATTAAATTGGTGTGCCCACCTCATACATCTCGAAGGGCCCGTAACTGGCCCTCAGCTTGTAGACTTCGGCAGGGTGAGTCAATATCAGAGACTCGCGAACAATGCTCGGCTCTTGTGGCTTGAACTTGTGGTATGGTGACTTGAGAAAGAAGCCATCCCTGCTGTCATCAAAACTGATGTCTATACAGTGAACACAACCTGGCAAAGAAGATCAGTAAAGAATACCAAAGTTGCACTTGTACTAAGTCTTATCTGCTAATTTTAATGATAACAACTACCGTATTTTCCCAACAATAAGATGCAACTAATTTCCAAAAATGTAGGGTCTAAAAACAGTGAGCATCTTATACAATGGTTGTATTTTACCAAGTGATTTGATGGAAAATATAAAGTACAGGGCCTTATGTGGGAATGCCGATTCAGGGGTTACATAAAATGGAAACAAAATTATAAAATTAAAAGTTATTTTCCGCTGTTTTGTATTTGTCTTCATTCTTACTGTTTGACATTCGATATAATATACGAAGACAGTGATCTGACGGTGATCTGTCATCAGACACAGAGGAGGGCTAGCTGAAGAACTGTCACACGGATGACACTTTTGACAGGGAGGAAGAGTTTTCTGGTTCTTTGGTGAATAAAACATTAGTTCAACAACATTTAGCAATCATTTTATTTTCCAGTCTCAAAATCAAGGTGCATCTTATACTTGGGGAAATATCGTAACTCTATAACTTTCTCTTTCTCTCTCCGTGCCTTTTACTTCTTTAGTCTTTACCCTCTGCAACCTAATTTCATTATCGTCGTCTTCTTCTTCTGTGGCTACCCTTAAAATGATTGACAAGTTGCGTTTTACAGCTAAGCAGTGACATCTGTGCATTTTGGTCCCAAAACAGGTGATTGTAGCAGTCAGCTTTCATTGCCCGTTCGGTGGCAAGGATTTATCCTTTTATTTTTCTTCCCAAAAGCTGGAATTTTTTCACCCAGATTTATAGTACTTTTCCCTGGTCTGGGTAGTAAGATCGGTTGCACGCGTAAAAAAATCCCTTGGCAGTTGGAAATCAAAAAGAGTAGCCTAAAGGCGCTGCGTGGGCACAATTCTGAGTTTTAAATCTCCCCAAAGTATTTCAGGATCCTCACCAGTGCTAAGAAGTTCGTGCTTCATGCTGTGATTCTTCGGACTCGGGTTTGAGTTAAAACTAGAACAGAGCACTAATGGGTTAGCACACTTGTGCCATTATGTAGATCTTTTGTATAAACATAAACATCTTCCCAAAATAGCCTTCTATAACCCACAAATGGATTATTATTAAAGCTGTACCGAATATTTGCTTTGGGGCCCAATAGTGGACATAATAAATATTCAGTATTCGGTCGAATACTTTAGGTCGGGCAGATTTCAAATAGTGGTTACCTTACACCCGCTTCTGCATACACGGCTTTAATGCTGACAACATGGAAATGTTTGGTTTTGTTAAAAGCTAATGCCACTTTCGTGCATTAAGTAAGCTGTCAGTGACAATTTCCAAGTTTAGTAACTTGTTACGATACTTTTATTCTTAGTTATTCCGTATGAATACTAACAAGACATGGAAACAATACAAACTTCGTCCACATACAAGTCTTCTTCTTCTTCTTCTTCTTCTTCTCTTCCACCTTGTACTTCATCGAAGTGTCGGGGGGAGATGTAATGTTTGTTGATGAGCTCTGTCAAGAGCACTATTAAGACTGATGTTCATTTCTCAAAGACCTCTCAAAGACCAACCCCACGTCCTCGTCGTGAGAGGTGGTAACAGGACAAAGTAGGGGATTGCTAGGTGTGGCCTCGTGCCATGGGACCGCTACGGTAGCCATGAAGGCCACCCTGGGTCACCCCGAAACGTCCTGGCCAACGGGGCTCTGGTGAAGTTGCGACAGGCCTAGCAAGCCGGCAATGGATTTTTTACCGCTACAAAAATCAAAATGAGATATAAATGGACTGATCAAACGGTATCTGACCATAGCAATGTTAAGGGACTACGAGACAGAACATCGAAATACAAGATTGCAACACTTAACACCGCTGACCTGGGAAATAAAACAGAAGAGATTATTGAAATGATGGAAAAAAGGAAAATCAAGTTAATGGGGCTAGCTGACATAAGACGCAAGGGAAATATTAATAAGAAAATACACAGAGGCTACATACTAACATATGCAGGAGGAGAAACATCGAATAATGGAGTGGGTTTCCTGTTACATCCGGACATATCTAACTACATATTAGACATACATTATCACTCAGATAGAATTATTACTTTGAAAATTAAAAGAGGAGAACAAGCTGAAACATATATAAAGATATATGCACCATGCAAAGATAATTATACAGAAGAGCAGAAAGATGAATTCTTTGACGATCTGTCTGATGAGATAAAGAAAGTTGAGGGAAGCAACATACTATATGTAATGGGTGACTTCAACGGGAGGGTAGGAAATAACAGAAGAGAATACGAACAGTTTTTAGGTCCATATGCAGCTAAGAACAGTGCTAGAAATGGAAATGGTCAAAGAATATTGGATCTATGCAGCCAGCACAATCTTTTTATTACGAACACATTCTTTGACCATAGAGATTCACAACTTTACACTTGGTACAAATGGAATGATGTCTCCATCAAGAGCCAGATTGACTTATACTTATCAGAGTTCAAGGAAGGAGGAGAATTCTTGATTCAAGAGCAATCCATAATGGTCTATGTGACACTGACCATAAAATAGTTGTGTTAACAGCAAAACATCTCACATTAAAGAAACACAGAAAGAAATTAAACAAAAACAAGGATCTCCTCAAGATAGCAAATCTGAAACAGGAAGGAGTAAAAGAACAGTTACAACAGAAAGTAGAGACAGCATTCAAACAACTTCCACATGTAGTTGGCAATATTGAGGAAGAATGGAGTATATATAAAAACACTATGCTTAGTATTGCAGAAGAATTATGTGGAAAATGGAAGAGTGGAAACAGACGGGGAAATAACAAATATTCACCTTGGTGGTGAGAAGAAGTAAAAGAAGCAATTAAAAAGAAAAAAGACACATAAACAGTGGATAAAATCAAAGAAAGAAGAAGATTATATAAACTATAGACTGCAAAGGAGAGAAACCAACAGGAGTGTCAAGAAAGCAAAACAAGCATCCTGGGAACGTTTCGGTGAGTCACTAGCAGAAAATGAGAAAACAGCCAGCAGAAAATTTTTCAAAGTGGTTAAAAATATGCGGAAAAGAGATGAGAGCTACAACCCCACTGAAATAATTAATGATAAGACAGGAAGGCCATTGATAGATCCACCCGAGATAGCAGAAAGATGGAGGGAATACTTCAATGAGCTCTTTAATCCTCTAGGAGATCATCAGGAAAGAACAACTGAAGAGCACAGAGCAACAGTGTTAGAACCACACATACTAATGGATGAAATAGAAAAAGTCATTAAACAGTCTCCCAAATATAAAGCACCAGGAGCTGATAGATTACCAACAGAAATAATTCAAGCAGCAGGTGAAAGCAGCATCAGATGGCTTCACAGAATATTCAATGCAGCATGGGTACAACAAACGGCCCCTATTGATTGGCAACATGCAATAGTTATACCATTGTGGAAGAACAAAGGAAGCAAACGAGAATGCGGTCAATATCGAGGCATCTCTCTTTTAAGCCATGTTGGCAAAATGTATGCCAAGATAATAGAAACAAGACTGAGACCAGTGATAGAACCACAGCTGGCAGAAGAACAGATGGGATTTAGGAGAAATAGAAGCTGCACAGATGCAATCTTCACACTTAAACAGTTAATAGAAAAGAACATTGAATACAATAAGAACTTATTTGTGGCATTCGTAGACTAGGAGAAGGCATTTGACAGAGTCGACAGACAATTACTATGGAAAATAATGGCAAGATATGGAGTAAGCGAACACCTCATCGAAGTGTGCAAAAGTTTATACAGGGATTGTAGAAGTGTAGTTAGAATAAATCAGGGAACATCTCATCCTTTCACAGTGACATCTGGAGTAAGACAGGGGTGTGTCTTATCACCACTGCTGTTTATCACCTACATCGACAGTATATGCTAGAATGCCAAGCCTATGAATGAAGATCTTAGTAAGATCAACGAATTACTCTTTGCAGATGACCAGGCCTTGATAGCAGATACAGCCATGAAATTGCAACAACATCTAACATCCATGAATGAAGAATGTAAAACAAATAATATGAGAATCAACACTGAAAAGACAGAAGTAATGTCAATAGGAAAAAAGAAGACAGATCTAAACATAGTAATAGAATACAAAGACATTAAACAGGCATCTGAGTTTAAATATCTGGGAACTAAATTTACCAAAGATGGGAAATTGGATAAAGAAATTGACATTAGATGCAGTAAAGCAAACCAAGTATTGGGACAGCTAGCCCCCCTCTTACAGCATAAGACAATCCCAATCAGCACAAAGAGACATCTTATTCAAAGCATATTTATTCCAATCTGTGCTACCAGTGCCAGACATGGTCACTCACAACAAACCATAAAAGAAAATTAGTAACCACGGAAATGAGATGTCTGAGAAGGGATGTAGGAGTGACCATAAGAGATAAGATCAGGAATGAGATCATAAGAGAACAAGTCGGCACAGAACCAATTCTGGATTACATACAAAGACAGCAAGTGAAATGGTTTGCCCACTTAGAGAGAATGCCTTGTGACACCATACCATACAAAGCATACATGGAAAGAGAAGAAGGACGTAGAGCACGGGGTAGACCAAGAACAAGATGGAAGGATAACATCAGAGAAACTCTACAACAGCACGATGTGCCTATGGTTGAGGCAGCCAGAAGAGCTAGAAACAGAACCTTATATCTCCCTCGACACCCACAGCGGTAAAAGAGGAAGTGAAGAAGAAGAAGAAGTTCATTTCTGTAAGGCTGTTCTTAATGCCATCACTCCATCTTTTCCGAGGTCTTCCACTCGCTTTATACCCGTTGTAACGTTTTAGCGTGGCTCGCTGTGGCGGATTGTACCAGGGCACTCTTGTTAGGTGTCCAAACCATTTCATTTGTTGTTCTTTGATGACCTGTAAGACTGGCTTTATTCCTAGCATTCGTCTGATTTCATGATTTTTGTATTCTGTCTTTCCTTGAAACTCCTGTAGCTCTTCAT